CTTACCCCAACCCCCCGCACTTATGTGCTACACCCAGTTCTTGTATGCATAAGTAGATAAAATAAAATCTATTAAAAAAAATTCATGAGATGCAACATGACCACTGGTTAGTCTTTCAAAGGTTAAAAAAAAAAAAAAGAAAGAAAACCTCCTTACTATTCTAGTTTTCATTGCTTTCCTTATATGCTCTGGATTGAAGAAGTCTAGAGTTTTATCAACTTTAACTTTCCTGTGTCATTACATATTAGAGTTATTGTCATTCCAAACACAGTTTTTATGAACTCATAACCCCCCCACCCCGAAAATATGTGACTTCCCAAGTCTCTGCAAATGCTTTAGATGATTATTTTAAAAGTGCATGTATATTTGTTTTTTGGCTTTAGTTATAGTAGGAATAATCAATTCAGGATAAACCTAAATTTATGGAATAGAATTCTGGATGATGGAGCAGATATAAATATGTATTACAAAAACACAGAATAAAATGAATTTTTATATAATTGGTTGCATTTTTCTTGATATAAGAAAAAAATCAAGAATATAGAATCAGCATTTTTGTACATTCTAAAAACTTACTACAGGTTTATCCATGATGGTAAAACTTACCATCATGTTATTTCTGCTTAAAATTCAATTTACATTAAAAATGTCCAATTCAGGGCCTCCCCGGTGGCGCAGCAGTTGAGCGCTGGGATGCGAAGCTGCCCGCGGCCTCTGCAGCGCCGGTTCAATCCCCGGCTGCTCCCCGGCCACCGGAAGAGGGTCCCGCATGGCGCGCAGACCTCTCCTGCCGCCCGCTGCTCCCCTCAGCAGTGTACTTCGGTCCCTCTGCCTGCTCTGCTCCCCGCTCTGGTTCTAGTGAATTCTCTCACCCTGCCGCGCTTCTGACTGTACCCAGTGCTTGTATAAATAAATAAATAAATCTTTAAAAAAAAAAGTCCAATTCAAAGAAGTTAAACCAATCACCTAGAGTTCCTCAACTGATTTCTTATTACACGAAAGAATGATAATGACAAAATTATAAATTCTGTGATTCTCAACCCCATACTGAAATTGAAATTGTAAAGCTTGCCCAAGTTGACTTAGTGTTCTTGTGGTTTCCCTCCCCATTTCTGAGAGACTTTTCATATCCCATAGACGTATCTTCACTACACTCTTCCTGAAATTTTTTGCCCTGGCCAGACATTATTGTCTCATTTCTGAATTCTGTCTCTTTGCATTTCCAATTTGCCATGGCATTAAATGGAACTTTAATATCACCTGACTTTTTATTTCTGATTAGAAGCTGGATACTATCTATATATGGGGTTCCCATTTGCTAACCAGGACCTCAAGACCCAGCCCCTACCTAGCGTTGTTCTGGCTCATGCTCCCCAGGACTTCAGTTCCTGCCCAATATCCTGGGCTCTTTCTGTCCCAGGAGCCAACCTTTAAATAATTGTGAGACTAAACAGAAAGCTAGGAATTCAACATATATTAAATAAAAATGCTATTTTTCTCATGTAAAAAGTATAACATAGTAATTATACCTGTCTGATGTGGTTTTTGTATTGATGACTAAGACTTGACTCAAATTAACAGTTTGGCACCAAAAGTAGGCTTGATTGTGCTGTAGGAAAGCAACTGCAAATAGCACTGGCAGCAACACTGAACTAGCGTCCAAAAGCCCATGGTTCTAGCCCATGGTCTAGGTCAGCCTCTAACTTCCTACGACTCTCAGAATAATTATTCCACTATCTTGGACTTTCATTACTTTGTTAGATAAAGGCACCAAACTGAACTATCACTAAACAGCTTTATATTTCTCTCCAAATTTTCATATTCCTATGAAGCATGCTTATAAATATTGATAAAAAGCTGTGTCACCATCTGCACATATGATAATAAATTATTTATACACAATTCCTTGCCCCATATTCTTTCCCTAAATCTTATTATGAGATCTGAAATCTTATATGTAGAATTTATTCCTTGAACATTCAAGAGTCTCTTTAGTTTGACATAGAAACAAAAGCTTTAGGATTACTTTAATAGGTTTGTTCTTAAAAAGATGGACTACTCAATGATCAAAAAAGATAAACCCATGCCATTTGTGGCAACATGGATGAAGCTGGAAGGGATTATGCTCAGTGAAATAGTCAAAAGGAAAAAGATAAATGTCAGAGAGTTTCGCTTGCATTTGGAATACAGAGAAACCAAACAAAGGGTCAGGAAAAACACACACAACCTGCAAGCTGGCCAAAGATCTGAGGCATACAGAAGGGGAGGAGGAAAAGGAGGGGTCAAGCGGGGAAGGGAAGAGCACAGAGAGGGACTGTGGTGATGGGAGAACTATGAGGACTACACCTGAGGGGAGAAATCAAAAACTGTCCAAAAATTAGCAGTGATATACAACAATAAATACAAAAAAAATAAAAAGTAATAAAGAATAGTAAAATTTGTATGAAATATCTAGCATTTCTAAGTCTTTTAACATAGTCCTAACAGAAAACCAGAACTAAGATTGTCTTACAAATTGAATCTGAATCACCTTGATTCCTGTGTTTGGCAATGGTTAAGCTCTGTCCTAATAATCTTGAAGCAGGGTCACAAAGAGACAAAGAGCCCATTTCCAGCAGTTTACTCATTTAATTTTGTGTTGCCAGACAAGGACTGTATAATGGTTTCCTTCTTTTTCCTCACTTTCTCTAGTCATGTTATTTTTGTTCTTTTTATTGAGATACAAATCACATACCAAAGTCATGTTTTCAAAATGTATGCATTGGTAGTTTTAATCACAAATCTATGAACACATTGCTTCTACCTAATGCCAGGACATTTTTAACTCTAAAAAAAAAAAAGTGATTACTCCCCATTTCCCTATTCCTCAGTCCTTAGTGACATTAATTTGCTTTTTGTCTGGAGTAGTTGATATAAATGGAATCCTACAATGTGTGGCCTAATTTTTCTAGCCTCTTTCAACTTGGAATAATTTTTTTTTTAAAGATTTATTTATTTATGCATACAAGAACTGGGGTACAGGCCAGAGGTGTGGGGGTGAGATGATTCACCAGAGACAGAGTGGGGAACAGAATAGGCAGACTGACAAAATACACTGCTGAGGGGAGCAGCGGAAAAGTCAGGAGAGGTCTGCTGCGCCATGTGGGTAGCTCCCTGGCCAGGGATTAAACCTGTGCTGCAGTAGCCACAGATAGTTTCATAGGTTATGTCTTAACCCCTTATACCACCAGGGAGGCCCAGAATAGTGTTCTTGAGGATCATGCATGTTGTTACATAGAACAGTGCTCCCATTGTTTTTTTATGGCTAAATAATACTCTCATATGTTTATGCCACATTTTGATTATCAGTTCATTTGTTTCTCAGTGTATGAATTGTTTCCACATTATGAGTAATGCTGCTATGAACATTTCTGCATGGATATATGTTTTTGTTTCTCATAATTATATACATGAAGTAGAATTAATGGATCATATGATAACTGTACATTTAACCTTTTATGGCATTGCAAACTATTTCCCAACTGTGCATTATTTACATTCCCACATCCTCACCAACACTTTTCATTAGCCTTTTTTTAAATCACCATTGTAGTGGATATGAAGTGGTATCACATAGTCTTTGGGTTTTCTAATTAAGTAACATGATTTAAAATGGAGAGTATGCTGGAACATATTTTATTGTCAATATAATAATGATCATTGAAATTAGTTATTCACATTTTAATACCTACAACCAGCTCTCCAACTCCCCCTTCTCATTTTTTAGCCTTATTTTTATTCGTTTTTAATTTTAGAACCATTTAAAATCAATGGAGCAGCGTTAGCTGTGTCTTGTATCATTTCATCAGTTCCCATAGATAGAATATAGCTCTCTGCAAATAAAGACAGGGGATAGGCCTGGGATTATTACCTACAAGGACATGGTTACAGCCAGTTTTCATCCCTATATTCCTAGCAAGTTAATGCCAGATTAATGCATTAAATCATTGGGCCTTTCATTGACAGGATGAAAAGATATACTTCCAGTACCTAATGTAGGTGACAGTAGCTGTTTTGGGTCTGTTAGATGTGTAGGAGTATTATTTATCTGTAGCTAAAGAAAATAACACTCAAATTTGTTTTTCTTCTGTTACCAGAAGGGAAGGAATTGTTCTTCCTATGCAATACATTTTGTCCATTTGTTAGGCTGTGATGTGATTATAAAATTTTATTCCAAGTCACTAAATAAGACCTAGGCAAAAAAAAAAAAAAATACTAAGAGGCCTAAGTAAATATAGCAATAAATGTGAGTTCTAACATTGATGCAGTTGGTGTAAATTTGAATTAATCATATAATCTTTTGGTTTTCACACTTAAACAATGTCATTAGAGGATTTTCAGGATTTCTTCTTGAACCAAATCTCTCATTCCATGTTTCACAGAAGGTCATAAAATATAATAGTCACATATTCTACATATTTTTCTACTCCTGAGTATTTTTAACTGAGGTTTTGATTACTAAGAATATTTTGAAGAAATTAAAGAGAAAGCTACTTGCACTAAGTCAATGTGTAGTATCTCTGGTGATTTAGAAACAAATTTGGTTGGGTAACATGTTTCTACATATAATTTGTTCCTTAAACATTTGGTGAACCTGTGTTTATTGTAATTCAACTTGATCTTGAGCCCCAGGACACATTTCACATGTTAATGGACACTAAAATGTGCAGTGTGGCCTATCTCTAAAATTTAAAAACATTGTGTGGGATCAGAGCTCAGACCTGGGCAAAGCCTTGAATGGTCTTATGAATGACTCAAGTCTGAGCAACCATGTTCTTTGAAGTAAAAGTTGGTTGAAAGGAAATCTTTGTTTCTTAATTTTGTGCAATGAATCTTTCAAATCAAGTGCTAACAGAAGTTACATGAGGTTGCCTCTCATTTGTTCTTAATTTCAAGTCATTAGATTTAAGCATTTGACAATTCAATTTAAAATCCCTTTTCCTACTTTGTCTCTTCTGCAGGATGTTTTCACTCCTGAATGCAAATTTAAGGAATCTGTGTTTGAAAACTACTACGTGATCTATTCTTCTACCCTGTACCGTCAGCAAGAATCAGGCCGGGCATGGTTTCTGGGACTCAATAAAGAAGGTCAAATCATGAAGGGGAACAGAGTGAAGAAAACCAAGCCTTCATCACATTTTGTACCAAAACCAATTGAAGGTACGAAATTATCTTCTTTCCTTTAGACCATGATCTGGGTGTTGATGCCAATTCTGTTGCTTGTCCCTCCACTAAGTGGTATTGGCCTGGAATGCAGCTGATTAGAATAAGATTCAGAAAACACAATAGTGCTTTTTCCTATTTTAGAAAAAATAATCATAGCAGAAAGAATGAAAAATAAAATTCTATTTAAATATTTGGCACTTAGAAAATAAACTGTTTGGATATGGAAGCTGGAAAAATCCTGAAATTAATAAAGTACTAGCTGCCATTAAAAATATAATTTCCTTCTTTATTGAACACAATCATTTAATTTCTTAGGCCATACATTTGAGTGCTACTGATACCATTACTGTGCTTAAAAGTGTGCAAAAGACTTTTGGAAATATGTTTATATCCTAATATCTATCTTTAAACAAATGTAGTAGTATAGTATATTTATTAATTTTTATTTCAAGGAGAGAAAATAGTATGCTGTTTACTTTGTTCAATACATATTTACAGTATTACATATTTTCCTTCTCACTGGAAACTATACTCTTCTCCTTTGAAAAAATGTTCACTTTTTTCAAATTGATCAGATTTAATGCTAAGATACCATCACTTTGGGTGACTTGTTCCTTAAGCAGGATGAGGATATACCATTGAGTTGGCCACATTTACTGTGATCAGCAAGACTTTTTAATGCAGGCAAAGAAAGCAACAGTGTTCTGGACATTTACCGACCTAACATTCTTCTCTTCTAAAAGTCACACACTCACATATTACAATCCTTTAAGGCACTTGTTCAAGCTTTTCGTTTGCAAAACTGCAAAAATTGGTGCATTGAACTCCATGATAGATAGATAGATAGATAGATAGATAGATAGATAGATAGATAGATAGATAGATAGATAGATAAAGAGCATTAATGAGGCTAGCTGACCTCTAAATATCTAAAAGGCATGGTGAGGTCAAGGTATATCTTTGGAACTAGAATATGTTCAGTCCATTTGAGATAAGAGGTGGGAAGTAGGCAAACAAAACACTTCAGCTGCAGTGTGAGTAAATCCTTAACTGTTGCATGGTTTATATTTGTGTATTTAAGTCATTAGTGTGTAATAAAAGTGGTACATACTTAGGGACATTCAAGAAAATAAAAGGGAAATGGAAAAAAATCATGTACTTATTTCTTTTATGGATAATGCACATTATACTTCCCAAAAAATATAAAATACAGGAATAAAAATAAAATTACACAAAAACACTTATTCCTAATCTCCAACCATAACTACTATCTGCACTGTTGTAGTCAAGTTTCCTCTTGGGTTATATATGCCATTACACATTTCTAAGAGAGATGTATAAAATGACCATGGCCCTAGTTCTAAAACTGCCTTAATATTATTGCTGCATTTTAGTACAAATGTGGAAACAACTAGACATTCCTAGAAGTAAGGTTAGCAGCCAACAGCACAAGACCCATGTCAGTAAAAGCCTAATCATACAAAGTTTTATTCTCTCGCAAACCAAATGCAGAGAACAGCTGCCCACGGCTGGCACTGTGGCTTCCCAATTGTTAGGGACTCTGGCCATGTCCAGCTTTTCATTCTTCTTCTCTTCATAGTGTTGTGTACAACTGTGCCCTGAACTGTCAGTGCCACCACACACAGTGGCGCTGAGTATGCCCTTATCTGCATGCTTACCCAGCATTCATATTCTAGTCAGAGATAGAGGAAGGGATGAAGAAGATAGCAGCAAAGCCTATGTTGGTAGCTGTTATGTGATACTTTTATCTTACTGATCACTTAGTAAGTGATCAGACATACACACACAAACACACACACACAGTAGAAAAATTATAAATTATCCATTTTGTCTGTTAGAACTGTGATTTAGGCCATGTGTATGCAGGGATGTCTACAAATGTAGTCTTTTTTTTCTGGATGGCTACATACCAAATAAAGGTTCCATTAGTTTTTGCCATCTTTTGGTTGTTTTAGTTTTATTTTTCTTATTTACCAATGCTTTATAATGATTTTCCTTTTGTTCTGTGGGAAAAATAAAATCCAGTGTAAATCAGATTCACTAATACTTGGAATTAATTCCAAGGCTCTTTGTGTCTTTAGATTGTGGGAATGAAAACTTAGGTGTGAATTTTATAGAATACCATGAGAATCACTTTAGAAAATGAAGAACTTAATTGATTTCAAACAAAAGATCTTTTAATTCTCTACAAATGTGTATTGTCTTACAGAGCAAGGTTCGCTTTCTGTACAATATTAGCTGTGTTTTGTAATTACTGTGAAAATGTAGTATGCTAAGTATTTCTTAATTATTACCTCTTATTTTTTATTCCATTTCTATAAACTAGAGTCAAGTATTATCTCTATTTTACAAAAGTGGAAAAACAATGTGCAAAGACATTAAGTCATTTTTCCCATATCAAGCTAGTAAGTAGCAGATTCAATTCAAATCAAGGTATTCTGAGTCAGGAGATCAAGTGCCTACTGCTGGTGGGAGTGCAAACTGGTCCAATCACTATGGAAAGCTGTGTGGAGATTCCTCAACCTACTAAAGATAGAGCTTCCATATGATCCAGCAATTCCACTCCTAGGTATTTACCCAAAGGACACAGAAACATTAATTCCAAAGAGCACCTGCACCCCTATGTTTATAGCAGCACAATTTACAATAGCTAAGCTTTGGAAACAATCCAAATGCCCAAAAATAAATGACTGGATCAAGAAGATGTGGTATACACAATGGAATATTACTCAGCATTCAAAAAAGATAAACACATACAATTTGCAGCAACATGGATGGAGCTGGAAGGGATCATGCTCAGCGAAATAAGCCAGAAAGAATAAGAAAAATACCAGATGGTCTCACTCATAACAGGAATCTAGAAAACCTAAATAAGGGACCAGGAAAAAGAATAACTATAAGAAAAAAATCAAAATCAACAAACAGCTATGAACCAGAGACACACTTTGTGAGGGGGCAGGGAAAGGAGAGACTGGGGTCAAAATCAGGGGGTTGCAATTGTATGTGGAATATAAAAATTAAAAAAAAAATTAAAAAAAAGAGAGATCAAGTGCCTAATTACCATGAAGACTGGTAAGATTTACCACTGTCAGTTCTGAGATGTAACCTTAAAATATCCAGTAGGACCCTAGCAAATGCTCTTGAGTAATATCTCTAATTTCTTCTCTTCTTTTTAAATCAATAATATACTTGTTTCTTAGAAATAAATGTCCTTTTGGATTCATGAAAACCTTCACATTCTTTTATCATAACTTACCAGTTAAACTATAAGATTGGTCAGTTCCCGAGCCTCCCTGGTGGCACAGGGGTTAAACACAGCACTATCAAGCTATTGCCAGCCACTGCAGCACGAGTTCGATCCCCAGCCAGTCAGAGAGCAACCCACATGGCACAGCATACCTCTCCTGCCTCACCCGCTGCTCCCCTCAGCAGTGTATTTCAGTCAGTCTGCCTGTTCTGCTCCCCGCTCTGTCTCTGGTGAATCCTCTCAGCCCCTACTCCTCCAGCTTATACCTCAGTTCTTACATGCATAAATAAATAAATCTTTAAAAAAAAGATTAGTCAGTTCCCTTATACCTCATCTGTACTTTAATATCATTATTATATACCAAAAAGGTGACCAACTTACCCAGCAACTCTCCATATTTTATGTCATTAAATGATTTTTATAGGTTACCATTATTATCAAAGGTTTGTACACTTGAGGTTTTGTTAAACATCATTCTACTACGCACTGAGAACTTTTTTCCCTTCTAGAATTCAAAGCTACTTTTGCTACCACTATGGTTACTACTATTACCAGTCTTAAGACTTCTACATGCAACACATTAATTTACCATTGGCTAGGAAGGTTGCACACATTATCATCATTAAAAACCCACATTATTCTAATATTTAAAGATGAAGAAATTACTGTTTAAAGAAAGCAACCTGTCCAAGTCACAGAGCTAAATAAATACAGAACTAGGATTAATGACTACAGTGCTCAGTGTAGAAGTCTATGCAACTACTCTCTACACTATAATGCTCTACTGTCTGAAGTAAGGCTATAGAAACTAAAATACTCAAAAATCTCAGAGATAGCAAGAACAAATGTTATACCATGACACAACTTGAGTAAGCTAATTCTAAACCATGCAAAACTAATATTTAAAGAGATGGCATAAATTCATTTTGCTAGATGATGGGATATGGAATGCTGGGTGGGTAGGAAGAATTAAGAATAAATCACTTTTCTGATGAATTTTAACATGCCTGTTTGGTATTCTGTAGAAGGAATTTGGAATCAAGAACCAGTTCATTCCTAAAGTTCTTTCACAATGAAATTCTGTGGAAGTCTTTGTTACCACTTCATTATAAAACCATGTTCTTTCATGGAAACTAGCTTAGCATTTACATATTATTTCAAATACATTTCCCTTTATTGCATTATTGAGTGAAAAAGTACAATGTTATGAGGTATTTCACAATGGGTGAATTGTGATTTTGGACAGGGCAGCTTGATGAAAGGCATTCTAGACCTAATTCATATCTGTAAATACGTTTTTGATAATATTTTTCCATAAGTCAAGTATAAAGTATATAACTAGAAGACTTTTTTAAAAAAGATTTATTTATTTCTGCATATAAGAGCTGGGGTGCAGGCCAGAGGGTACAGGGAGTGAGAGGATTCACAAGAGAGAGTGGGAAGCAGAACAGGCAGATCTACCAAAATACGCTGCTGAGGGGAGGAGTCGGGAGACAGGAGCAGTCTGTTGTGCCATGTAGGTCAGCTCCCTAGTCTGAGATAGAACTCCTGCTGCAGTGGCTGCCCATAGCTTCATAGTGCTGAGACTTAACCCCTTGTGCCACCAGGGAGGCCTACCAGAAGACATTTTTAAGAAAAAAAATAGAAAATATTAGCCTCATAAGATGTCAGTATATTGTTGGCTAAGCAAAAAAGGTGGTCAATTATTTTAGTTTTTAAATGAATT